CGTTTTCCCTTATCACCTCACTCTCACCACTCGACGTGGAGAGAAGCAGCAGCGAAACAACCGCACCATCAGGCAACCATTAGAAATGAATGGTGGGCGGTGCCAATGATTGTAGGTTGGGCCAATGAGAAGAACGACGGCATCGTGGGCCTCCTCACTCGTTTTTGCGCCGCGAAAGTGGTAGTTGTTGCCTCTGCGGACCTGACTACCTGCTCACGAAGGGAGAGGAAAATCTCAACTGAACGCGGACGCTGCCTTTAAAGCCGAGCAAGTGACTAGTGACTCATATCATGTCGTTGTAAGAGGCAGAAAACGGCTTTGACGCGAGCAGCACTCACTACTGACCTGACAGCGCCACTCGTTCGCAACTAACTCACATATAACTGCTGCTTTCAAAAAGTATTGCTCTGTTCGAAAGGAGTGGATTCCGTCTCTGATACCACTTGACAAGTGCTGTATTTGTTGCTCGTTCTTATCAGTCAGTTCATTGTAATACAGTAATTTTGTCCCCAACGCCCCCAAAGGTGACACGTTTTTAGCAGTAATGGGACTTTGGTTATCATGCCACCCTAGCATTCATTTTATCACTCCATTTCCCTTTTGCTACTCATTCCTACTAAATATAATTTGATAGGTTTATTTTTTGTTTTTTTTTGCCTTCGAACTGCTCTTCGGCTCTACTTCACAAGTTGGGAGCTCGGGTCGGATATGATAGTTTAGGATTGGACAGGTATTACAGTGAAAAACTTTACTATGGTAAAACTGATCATTCGCAACAGATGACCGACCCCTTCCCTACGCCTCTCCGAGTCTTCGAAGCGTCGGGTAGCCCCCAATCTACTTCATGTACTTGTGCAGTAACCAAGGCATAAGGTGAGGTTGATGTTGGTCTTCGTAAATTTTCGAACATTCCGTAAACACTGAAAACCGCATCATATTTTTGTGCATCGGTGGGAAATCGAAACCTCCGTCCGCCGCCACGCCTACAGTGGGCGGGGCACGCGTCGAAAGCGAGCGGTGGCGCAGACAAAGATGCATTGTTTGGTTCCGGAACAGCCGAGAAATGGGGAAGGAACTAACCATAAGTTTGGCTAGATAGGAGACACACTCCCGAAGGGACGAACTCGAATACCCTTCACAAAATTCAGTAACTCGGTGGATTAAGGTCAACGAGGATTCAGCAGCTGGGAAGAGGGAGACAAACACGTATAGGCGGGGATACGCCGAGGTAAGCGTTCCTCGGCAATTTTGAGAGTCCGGGAGTTGCTTTCGGATCAGCTCACGGATTGGAAAAAAGTGGTCGGCGAGGGACCAGCAGACGAGAAGGAAGCATTCTGTGGGAGGGGCGTGCGCCGAGGTGGGCGGGCAATAGCAAATGTAGTTCCGTCTCATAACAGCCTGGTGCCCTTGAGAAAGGTAATGAACGCGAGCTGTGGGTAAGGAAGGAAATTAGTGGTAAATGGAACTGAAAAAGAGCGGGTCTTCTCTCAAAATAGGTGGAGCAAAAATCAAAAATTGATCACCCGGTTCGATGGCTCCTAGACAGAAACGATTTGTTTGCCTTACTGACCATCATCATCGCTCCCATTCTGTCACCCTTGACTGCCGCACAAACATATGATACCATTCGGATCGACGGTCAGAGCTCTGCAAGGCGAATTCCCCCAATAATGTCACCTTGTATATGCATTAATTGGTGGAGAACGTGTTTCGGCTACGCTCCGATTCGCAGCCTTTGCACGCCCTATCATTTGAAGGGATTATGATTATAATTCTGCTTTGCGAAACACGGCGGCATCCCTCTGTAGCTCCTGAGGGCGGAAATGACATGGAGGCGCTGCCTCTTGTCCTCCCTCCCCGCCCTCCCTGCCGAACTACATACACATGTACTACGTACATAGGTACCCATTATTCAGCTGTTTAGTTATGCTTAGCATCAGTTCGTCCAATGACCGTTAAAACTTGAAACCGAGGAGATTAATTAATCGTCTGGCAACTATTTCAGACAAGGCGTCGATTAAATGGTGTGAGACGTAGCTCCTGCGATCTAATATATCTCACGCGAATGTACCACACGTCGAATCAACCGGTGGGTGCTGACTTCCGTGGAATGTCTTGTCGCGATGTCCTGAAATCCCTCCGAACTGTTGGTAATCGTGTGATTGACAGTATCGTTTGAGTCGCGAACTATGGACGCCTTAGCTCCCCGAAGCGCCACAGAAGCTTCAGGGAGCTTTGTTTGGGGCAGTGCTGGAAGAGACAACTCGTGCCGAAGCTGAAACCGTGACATGCTAGTTTTGTTCTACTGTTCTATCCTGTTTTAGCATTAAAGTACCCTATTTCCAGGGCACCCTTCGAAAAAAGCTTGGGTCTTTTCTCTCTCTCTCATTCTTTACTCAATTCGTTTGCACTTGTCCGCCAGCCCCATTCCAATTGTTTCTTTACTGTTTATATGTTGCTTTGTGAGAGCAATGGTAATTACTAGTCGAATTCCAATAATTCTAGTGAATGACACGTCTAAATGGCGAAAAAACTTTGAGAATAGTTTCTGTGCCTTACTATATCGATTTTATGGATATTCTCATGTTTAGGCAGAAACTGGTTTGTGTCATTGAATTTAGATGAAAAAGTGGAGACATAATAGTCCAAAGTGCTCCAAAAGGGAACAGGAGCGTAAATATCGAGAGAAAAAACTATCACCGCCCTTGATTGTGCTCGCGATCGTTGCTAAGCGTTCATGTGGTTATGTAAATAAACACGGCTTCCGGCTCCCCTATCTTCACCTCTTATGTGTGTTTTAACATTTTCCACGGATAATCCCTTATTTAACTTTTATTCGATTGAATTCTCCTGATGTCCTTTTGATGTCATACTTTTCGATGAATGTTCTACATGACATTTACATTGGCATTTCAGTCAATTTTTTTTCTGTCGCAGTTTTATCAGCCCTCCTCACCGATGAGCCCTAAACTCGGGGCCTTTCTTGCCCGTTGGCAGGGATTTTTCCAGAATACGACCCCGGTATCCTATTACCTCCTATCTTCTTAGGTTACAGGGCTGTGACCACCGGATATGCTCTCGCTGGGAGTCCAATGGTATTTTGTCACCGTATCTACTAGTCCAGCAGATGGGGAGAGAAGCAAAAGGAAGTGAAGAGAGGAGGGAGGTAGGGAAAGAGGGGATGTAGTCTTCGCAGTTGACAATTCTGAAACGATCTTTTCAGCACTAACTTCCTTTTACAAAAGAAAGTAGCATCGAGGTTGCGGGGTGGTGGGGAGGGTATACAACGCAATCCATTCGAAGGCAAATAGGACTGAGTACATAAATACTTACTGAGTACGTAATTATCAAGCAAGTAAACCTTGCTGGGGTTACACACCGTGTGCTCTGCCTAGGACTGAAAAAGTAATATTGGTTTGGGTAGTAAGGGGCAAAACAGGCAATCTGGGTTCTTATTTTCCTTTTGCTGTTATGCTCACAGAAAGTGCTTTTTTTTGTTCTTATAGTTCTTCATCTCCTAGCTCCTTGTCCCTGCCTTGTACTCGACCCTTCTTGGTTTTGCAAGGTTGCGAAATTAAGTGGTAAATCTGACCTTTAAAATTTTAACATGTTTGATCACGTTAAGGTTAGAAGTCAGTGTGAGTTCGCACGTGGCAGCATAATTCGCCTCGTGAAGGGAATTCCCATGGGGCCTTTTTGGTGGTTAATGAGGAGGCACATGACGTCATCATGTTTTTTAATAATTTTTTCTCTTTTCTCTCTTTCTTGATTGAATACTTGGCCTTGTCGTCTTGTAATCGAAGCACGTCGTACACGAGGGGACCCACAACGGGGTCGTATTTGGTCGCTGGAGGGAGGATCTTTAGCCGGGGGACTTTTTTTAATAGATTTTTCTTCTTTCACGCGCGCCGTTTACATCACTGAATGACTCTTGGGGAAGCTTATTTGCCTGTCCCTCTCCCCCACCCGCTCCCCCTCCCCTGCCACTAGCCGGGAAAAGTAGGAAGTCGGAACAGGTCAGTAAAGTGGTAGGGGTAGGATGGGGAAGGAGGGTCGTCCGGGGGGAAGGAATTTAACGGAATTTTTCTCGAACGAGTTTCGGAATTTTCTGCAGGATGTGCCCCGCTTGTAATTGAGTCTCTTAATTTGAATCATTTCTTCTGTTCTTTTTTTTCATGTTGGATTCTTTGCGCGAACAACTTTGACCTCGTATGGTTTTACACTAATCCTCAAAGAGTAAGGCTACTGGTTTTAGATTTGACTGAAGGTTGAACAGAGAGTTTCTTCAATCATTTCTGGTTCATAAGTTGTTCTTGAACAGTTTTGCTATTTCATTCATTACGTGTTCTCCGTCTATAAGTTTTCCCTCGTTACACTCAATCTAAATAATCTTCTACGAAAGAACGGTTGTTAAACAGAATTCTTTTCAGAAACTATGGGTCAAAAGGTGACCAAGGCGGATTTCACCTGGTCATACGACGAGGAGCCACACGCCAGCAGGTAAACGCGTTTGTTTACTCACTGTCTGTGTTTGCTGAGTTCTTTATAGATTTAGCGGCGGCAAGTTGTTACTAAAAACAGTTCGTAGCGGTAAATGAGGAGCATTTCTACTTTCTTTCGTTTTATTTTTCACTGAGTAGACTAAATGTAAAAATGTCAGGTAAGTGTTTAAAGCAGCAATTAAATAACCGGCACAGTTGGGGCTCGGCGATGCTCAGCAATGCTTGTACATTTTACCTTGGGAAGATCTGTAAGTTCTAGTAACCAAAGTGGCACTATTTTACACCTTAGCAGCCTGACAGTAACAAGGGAAGCTAGCAGATGTGAAAATGCCTCTCCTAAGTCAAACAAAGCCTATGATTCTTTCACTGCCATCCTTATAATCCTACCCCCACCCCCTTATTTTTTCATGGTAATGAGTTTTCGTTAACCTTTTCTGACTGATGATTAGGTCTTATCCTTGGGAATATTGATTCTATCAATGGGTGTCCTCGGTTTTTTTTTCTCATGAAATTCTAGATTGTGTGGTCCATAAGGAAGGTTTGTTTCCCTATGAATTCAAAAATTTTGGGATTGCAAACGGTATCGTGAGCGTCTGATATGGGATAAGGTAAGGTCACCGCGATCGTTAAGGGTGGGATAAGGTAAGGTCACCGCGATCGTTAAGGTTGTTTTTTAATTGTAACTCCGCGATTGAGTTACCTAGCAAATAGGAATTCCCACTAAGGTAACATGTAGTCAGCAACCAATAACTCGCTGGCCTTTTTTTTTCTACGACTGAAGTTGTTTTGGAAACTGGTAGACGTTCCTGGCCGAATAGTCGCCGGTGTGTTGCATTTTATATTGCGTTTTGAGTGCTTTAACGGTCCATAGTTCCAGCTTTGTTTGATAATTTTGGCCTGTGGTTTTCCATAATTCAGTCTGTGAACCAGATGATAATTACAAAAATATAGCCCCTAAGAATAGCCCCTACGAAGCACTATTCTGCTATTCGCTGGTCCTCATAGATCACCGATACAGCCTGTCGAGGCCTGTAAATTTCTGTAAACTATGCAACATAAGGAGCTCCGTTTACCCTTGGCCGGTCTCAACAGGCCTCAGCATGATGTGACGTGCAGTTTGAAGGATTTTGCAAAAGGAACTGGAAACCGTGCAATATGCCCCTCCCTAGCTGAACAGCACCCAGAAGTATGAAAGAATGTTTGATTAGCAGTTTTTGTCATCATTTCGGTTATAATGCCGTTTGTGATTGGCCTCACGTAGAAAGTTATGTGCCAGAAACGTACCGGTGGTCTGCAAAACGATTTCTCTACTATCTAATCTACTTTGTACTTTTGACCTGAGCGACCAACTATATGCAAAAAAGGGCTGGCGTGATCGAATCATTCGTGACGCTGCTCTATGTAAATAAGATGGAATGTGCAGTTTGGGGGAGTAATTTGAACCAGTGAGAACGTTTTCCAGTTGTTGGAGGGGAAGGAGTGGAGAGGAGAAGGCAACATTGAGCATTGAGGAAGGTGAGAGAGGAGGCTATTAAATTCGTAAAGTGCATTAGCCAACATTTTGACTTAACCATCTCTATCGCTAAATGCCGTCGTTCTTTATCAGCCACTCCCTTTTGTACTCTCATTCAAAGGGTGTGACCTTAGAGCGATATTGGCACTGCTGCGGGGAATTTGCTGAAGAAAAGGAGAGGGATGTTGGATGTTGTTATCTGCAAAGTTGGAAATATTTTAATTGACTGATAATATTCTGTTTAAGGCGTGTAAAGAATGCTAAGAAATATCCACAAATCAAGGATCTGTTTGGACAAGATCCAGCGTTCAAAGTGGTCGTGATATGTATGGTACTGGCACAGATTGGTTTTGCTTGGCTGCTCAGAGGTATGATCTATGCTCTATGTGGTATCTGTGTTTTTATGATTGTTACCCTCCCCAACTGATATTTTTAATCAATCTTGAAAAATTTCTGGTCAATCGCTATACTTTTCTCAGCGAATGTTGAAATTTCACTCGCTCAAAGTTCGTTTTTTTGTTCGGCTTCCACCTCTCACGGTTATCTTATCTACATGACTTTTCTCACAAACGTGGGAGTAACTGCGGGGGTTGACGGCGCATTTGACATACCGCACAAAACTCAACAGAGTAGTTCATGATGTAGTCAGATGCTTTCCAATGGGAGTTCAAAAGAGAGTGTAAAGTAAAAGAAAGAAAGAGAGAGTGAGGAGTGAAGAGAGAGTAAAGTGAAAGTCAAAAGAGAGAGTAAGTAGTCTCATATAAGGACCCTCATTTTCTGAAGTATGAGGCACATCCACGTAGAGGGCGCACCTCCATTTCGATTGCCATTCCCCAATTTTTTCCTCTATTCTTTTGCGTGTTTTTCATTTGTTTTTATTCTTATCCACGATCTTTATTCAATAGGAAGTATTAGAAAATCCGTTGGAATATTGAACTATGCAAAAAAGATAGGAAAACTGCTTATGTGTCTGCCAACTTTTCGCACGTTTTGTTACGTGCGAGTCTACGAAATGCGCCCTATACCCCATAAAATAAGGGTGATTCACTCATGGAGGTCTCTTGATCTTGATTATGAAGCCAACCGCACTGTTAACACTGTTCAAGCGCGTTCTTGCGAACAGAAGGAACGGCTACAGGGCTTGTGTGCAGTAAACTGTCCAGCAGCAAATAAATAATAGTTGAGGTAGCGGTGACCTAAGAAACGGCTGTTACTGTTTGGCAGCTAGAGAAGCGCAAAAAATTTGGACAAGCCACAAAATCGCGTTTCTCACAGTTCTGAAGCTCTCAGTCAACGCAGCAAAACACGGGAAGGTAAGTAGACTAGGCGAGAATTCAACAGTAAAGGGAAGATCATTCAGAATCGATGGTTCCCTGAGCTTCATTCTGTTTAATCTTGATGTAGTGAGTAGAATGACGAAGCTCTTCTCTTCATTGAAACTTTAAAGTTTCAGTGGAGAGAAGAGTTTCGTCATTCTACTCACTACATCAAGATTAAAAAGGAAGCTATTCAACGCTCTGAGCAGATAGCGAGAATTCAACGAAAGAAAGCTATTCAGCGCTCTGATTGGTTTGCTTACACTGGACTTAATTAGAGCCGTGGAGTCGACTCCATAGGAGCTCAGGGGGACCCGGGCGATTCTATCGTCGGCAAGTCAGGCGACGCCGCACATGCCGCTGCGCGGCACGCCGCGACGCGGCAATCCCGGAGTTGCACTACCGTACTCCCGAGTTATCATTGGAGCAAAGCGTTAGCGTTGGTTCACGGCGTAACATGAAAGCATTGATTATTGACATTTTGTTGCGTGGCGTTGGGTGTATGTCGCTTGGCGCGGTTTTTCTTATCGCCCACACGTCAAATCCTGTCAGGCAAACCTACTTCCAGATGAATCCAACCCGTTACAACACGTAACTGTAACGTGATCGCGCCAAACGTTCAAATTGTTAAAGGGTCGATGATCCCTTTAACAATTTGAACGCCACGCAACAAAACACGTACGCGGCGGCCGCCACGCCGCCTCGCTCCGCCCACCGGCGCGACGACCCCACGATAGAATCACCACCATAGGAGCTTCAGGGTATCCACAAATATTCAACTCCAAGTTCCCTTAAATGCATGGAACCGATCATTGGTGTTGGTGCTTCTCTTTGACTTATGCTCCGAGTCGTCCCAAAAATGTCTGATGGTGAAAAGACCGTTACTCGATCATTTTGTTATCCTGATGCTGACCATGGGTGCCGGAAACTAGATCTCACTTAC